CCTTTTTCATTTGGAAAATAAGGAATTATTGCCATGGAGATACTGTGTATAAGTACCTAGATGCGGTCTTTTTAAGGCTTTTCCTTCTTTCTTGTACAGAAGTAAATGTTCAATACACAATTCTAACTCGGGAAGTATATAGTTTCAATCCGAAAACCATTCATCATCCTCACCTCTGATCTCCCATTTGTAGTCGTGATAACCCTTCATTCCCTCAAAAGAGCAGTGCTTCCTTATCACCTCATAATTTTCAGGAAATTTCACTCTTTTTTCCAACCATACTTTTTGTTTAGTTTCTTCAACTTTTTCTTTAGATTGTTCCGGAATCATCTTATCCAAGCCCCACAGTTCTTTAAAGTATTCCCAATAAGTCCATGGTTTTTATTAGATTCCTCTGAATGGTTTTTATGGTAATCCTGCGTGGCTTCTTCTAGGGTTTCCATCCAGGGTCCACTCTTGTCAGTATTCTCAATAAACCAGCTATACCTTGGTTCCATACCTCTGACTTGACCACTGAAACTTTTTTTTACTTGTGTTCATTTTCAAGTACTCACACAGAATGATCCTCAATGTCCAGCTCTGGGTTTGTATATATAGCATGGATTTTTTTTTAGGGTCGTGTGCAAAAATACGTTTTACCTACGTTTTTTTATGCTGACTACACAGGTAAATACTTGGCACTGAGCCAAGTTTGTTTAGGGCCGTGTGCGAAAAATATGCTGACTAACAAAAACTTGGCAGCGAGCCAAGGTAGAGCCGTGTGCAAAAAAAGAAATGATACACAGGTAAATACTTGGCACTGAGTGTTTGTTTATATTCCGTGTGCAAAAAAAAAAAAAAAATTGCTGACTACACAGGTAAATACTTGGCAGCGAACCAAGAGGCCGTGTGCAAAAAGTACGATAAAACTTACCTGTGCATTATGACGTCATCCACTGTATATAAATACGGTTTTTCTCCGACTTTGGGTTCATTTTACTCTCAGAGCCATCACCTGATAGACATGAATTCTACTAGAGAAAAACAGGTACAGTCTCGACGAACATTGAAACGAAAAAGTACCGAGAGAGAAATAGATTTACCACCTAAACCCATTTCTGAGTATTATCACATGAGACTAGCTGAAAAAAGGACCTCTCCAAAATTTAAAGCGCATGAAAATAGATATGTCGTTCATTTCGATGAATTTCCAGAAGAAGAAGAAAACACAGCTTTCCTTCGGCGATTATTCAAAAACATGTTACAAGACTTCAAATCTAAAATGCAGTGTGATCCTAACGATTACCTCCGCCTGAACCTTCATCACGATTCTTTGGATTCAGACATTTCTTATGGGTTTATGCAATGTAAAAAATTAAACGAAGACGTCATTTTTAAAGAAATACAAAATGTGCAACAATCCAAAAAGGAGTTCAAAATCGGCGACGGCTCCACGGAATTCCAGCTGTTACACATCGAGAATCCCCAGGGGAGTGGTGGAAACAGAAACAAACATCTACAACTGGATAAAGAAACTTTCAAGAAAAATAAACGAGCCATCGTTCGGATCGTCAATCCCCATGATAAATTTTGTTTGGCTAGAGCCATCGTCGTCACTCGATTACACAGTCAGAAACCCGATCATACAGACCCGGAATGGGAAAAACGATGGAAACGCATGAGGTCAGGCGATCAATACTTAGACCAGAAGAACCAAGCCATAGCCCTCATGGAACAAGCCGGATGTGATATCACTCAAGCTTGTGGAGCCCCAGAGTGGCCGAAATTACAACAGGTATTAGCTCCTCAGTATCGTCTGAAAATATTTCAGTTCAAATCTACTTCCACTAAACTCTGTTTAGAGCGCATCTTCAAAGGCTGGGGAGATGGAACTTGTTTGAACATTTTGTTAGACAACCGTCATTGCGATGCCATCATATCCATACCGGGAGTAACGGGGAACCAATATTACTGTGATCATTGCGACGTGGGGTACAGGAATGTCACAGAACATCGCTCCAAATGCCCTCATCGCTGTACCTTTTGTTTAGGACAACACCCTAATTGTCCCGATGAAGGGATCAAGATTAAATGCCAGGAATGCCATGGAATGTTTAAGAACAAGACCTGCTACGAAAATCATTTAAGACCTCATGGTAAGAAAACCACCACTACTGTCTGCAATTTAATGGGGTTATGCGAGAAGTGTCAGTCCTGGATACCTAAGAAATTATTTCCTCATCACAAATGCGGAGATCAGAAACTGTGTAAGATCTGTAAGAAAATCGTCGATGCCGATCATCGGTGCTACGTACGACAGAAGCCCAAGAAGAAGAAGAAGGGAAAAGGCACCTTAGAGTTTACCATTTATTTCGATTTCGAATGCACTCAAGGAATCGGGCATTCACGTTCCTAATCTGTGTGTGGCACATCGCGTCTGTCAACATTGCGATGACTTACCCATAGACCAACCTTGTCCTCATTGTCATCACATGGGACCCCGTCAGCACCTATTTCAAGGCCCAGACACCTTAAAGAAGTTCATGGACTGGTTATTTCAACCCACTACAGGTACTAAGAATTCCACTTTAGTACACGACGGGGCCATCGTCATCGCCCATAACTTCAAAGGATACGACGGACAATTCATTTTGAATTACATAGTGCATTCTTCTCCCCTGAAACCTAACGTGATCATGAACGGGAGTAAGATCTTGTCCATGGAAATATGTGGACTCAAATTCATCGACTCGTATAGTTTCTTAACCTTTCCTTTGGCCAAGATGCCCTCCGCTTTCGAATTGAACGAATTGAAGAAAGGTTATTTCCCTCACTTTTTTAATACGGAACAGAACCAGAATTACGTGGGACCTTATCCACCGGCAGCTTTCTACAAACCGGACGAAATGACTACCAGTGGACGAAAAGCTTTTTACGAATGGTACGACCAACAGAGGGGAAAAGTGTTTGATTTCCAGAAAGAGTTTGTAGGGTATTGTATCTCGGACGTCGACATTTTACGCCAATGCTGTGCACGGTTTAGAAGCACCCTCAAGAAGTTGGTCAACGTGGACCCTTTCCAGGAATCCATCACGTTTGCCAGTGCTGCTAATTTAGCCTACCGTCGAAATTTCATGCCTAAAGACACCATTGCCATCATTCCGAACCTCGGGTATGAACCGGCACGACAATATTCGGCCAAAGCCTGTCGGTGGCTCACCTGGATGAGTCATCAGAATGGGTGTCACATACGACATGCCAGAAACGGAGGCGAAGTCCCGATCGGAAATTATACCGTCGACGGATACCAGGAAGCGACTCATACCGTCTACGAATTTTACGGGTGTTATTGGCACGGATGCCCCACTTGCTATCCCAGTTTACAGACGGAAACTCATCCTCACCGGACCCAATTTACTTATCAACAATTACACGAGAAAACTCTCAGAAGGACTGCGGATTTAGAGGACATGGGGTACAACGTGTGTAGTATCTGGGAGCACGATTTCGATCAACAAGTGCAACAAGATGAGAGTTTACAGCAATTTGTACGAGATCTGGACATTCCCGATCCTTTGAAACCTCGAGAAGCCCTGTACGGAGGCCGGACCAATGCCACTAAATTATATTGTGAAGAAGGGGACATGAGATACGTGGACGTGTGTTCCTTATACCCTTACGTGTTGAAACACAGACCTTTTCCCTTAGGGCATCCCGAGATCATCACAGACGACTTCCAGGACGTGAGAAGTTATTTCGGTCTCATGCACTGTCGGGTCTTACCACCCCGAGGCCTCTTTCATCCCGTATTACCTTATCGGACGGGAGGTAAGTTATTATTTCCCTTATGTCGCACGTGTGCCCAACAACAAGACTCTACGTCTCAACACCCATGTCAACACACCGACCGGGAACGTAGTCTCACGGGTACTTGGGTGACGACCGAATTACATAAAGCCTTAGACATGGGGTATACCTTAGAGCAAATTTACGAAGTGTGGCATTTCAAAGAAAGCAGTCAAGACTTATTTAAAAAGTACATCAATACCTTCCTCAAGATCAAACAGGAAGCGTCCGGATTTCCCCCGACTGTAAGACCTCAGAACAAGAACAAGATTACATTCGACAAATCTTCGACAAAGAAGGATTCATGATGGATAGGATCAGTATCAAGAAGAATCCAGTGTTAAGAACCATTGCTAAACTCTTTTTAAATTGTCTGTGGGGAAAATTTGCTCAACGCTTGTTATTACCCAAAGTCAGATACTTGGACGAACCAGAGGAATTACATCAACTCTTACAAAATTCCACTCTCAACATCAAGGTGTGCGACTCTTAGTCAATAAAGAAGATTCCATTGAAGACAAGATTCTAGTGAATTTTCAAGACAAACAGGAATTCGTCGAAGAATGTCCCTTTGGAAACGTGATCCTGGCTTGTTTTACCACCGCCTATGCCCGCTTACATCTCTACGAGACTTTACAACCTTTAGAAGAACGGGGCCTTTATTTCGATACGGACAGTATCATTTACCAACATAAGGAAGGAGCTTTTAATCCTACCTTGGGTCATAGTTTAGGAGAATGGACCGACGAATTAGACGGGGATCACATCACCAAATTCATGTCGGCAGGTCCTAAAAATTATGGTTTCCGGACGGACAAAGGAACCGAGGTTCATAAATGCAAAGGGAATCACTTTCAACCATCGAACCTCTCAGTTGGTGTGCCCAGAGACTTTAGAAAAAATGCTCAAGGGAGAAATAGAGGAAGTAAAAGTCCCCTATCCCAGCAAAATCCAGAGGACCCGTGATTATGAGGTCGTGAATAAACCTTCAGAGAAAACAGTTAGAATTGTATATGACAAGAGACAAATTGTAGAGAATTATAACACTTTACCTTATGGTTATTGATATGTTTGTTTGTTGTTACAAATAAAAAATTGAATTGTTTTTATATGTGTTGTTTTTTTTTTCTCTATAAAAAGGTATTCTTATTCAAAATCAAAGGTCATTTCTAATCATGGGGAATCGCCAGCCAGACCAACCCATGCGTTTTCCCCAGCATGCTCAGCTCTCAAAGAGAGAAGCTACTTTTGAGCAGGGATGGCCTGAACTTCTCTCAGGAAAAATACCAGACCTAGCTCGAGCTGGGTTTTACTACAGGGGAGTGAAAGATAACGCTACCTGTTTTCATTGTGGAATGACTTTAGAGAATTGGGATCTTGAGGAGGATCCTTATGCAGAACATGCTTATTGGAACCCCAATTGTCCTTACATCAATCAGTATAAAGGACGAAGCTGGGTGATGAGTATATTTGTCGGGGACTTAGATCAGCAGGGATATAAACCTTTACCTGAGATTAAACCTCTACTGAACCCAGAACCAGACGTCCAGGCTCGAGGAAAATGTCACATTTGTTTAGACGAGGAATTACAAATCGTTTTTCTACCTTGTGGACAATATATGCTGCTGTGCCTTGTGTGCTCCTTCCTTTCAGTTTTGCCCCATCTGTCGAGGCGAGATTCACAGTCCAAACGGATATTTCTGTGTTAACTATAAATAAAAAAGACAGAACCCAAATTTGGTGTTTTCTATTGTTAAGCAAGCTCCTCAGACCTAGATTTTTTTTTCAGTGATAAAGAATGAGATTTTTGAATTATTCCTAATTCAAAATTCTCTATTGGTTTTTTCCTCTGCAAGGTAAAAATAGATACTCCAGTCTCTATATAAAAAGGAGACCTACAAAACCAACAGATCATTTCTGATCTGGGTGAGGGACAGTAAGGCACAACAAATGAAAGTGAAATCTTTTTTTTATCATAATACATAATTTTGTAATAAACAAACACTTACTCTCATAATGAGCCTTAATGTCTTCCAAGAGTTTAGTTTGGACTTCCTCCATTAATCCTTGTATCTACTCCATTGGTTTTGTGGGCTAAAATCATGTGTCTTGTGAGGTGTCAATACAAGTCGGTCATGGATTGACACAAAGTCATTAACTTTTGAATGAAAAGTTCATTTTCTTCTATCAAAACATGTATGAAACATATATTATTTTGGTCAATATTCATATCAAAAGCATAATTTCAGTCACTTTCATACAAGATAGTCAACATTTCATACAAGAATTGATTTGACATGATGACAAAGCGATTGATTGCTTTGATTGACAGGTGTCATGACGTCATAATTCAGTTAAATTCAATTCCTGAATGAAAACGTCATTTTCTTCTATGAAACATGTATGAAACTTATATCATTTTGAATCAATATTCATATTAAAAGCATAATTTCATCACAAATTCAACATTACATTTCATACAAGAATTGATTTGACATGATGACAAAACAAATTCCGTATATTGCTTTGATTGACAGATGTCATGACGTCATAATTTCAAATTCATTTCCTGAATGAAAAGTTCATTTTCTTCTATGAAACATGTATGAAACTTATATTATTTTGAGTCAATATTCATATTAAAAGCATAATTTCAGTCACTTTCATACAACTTAGTCAACATTTAATACAAGAATTGAAAGACATGATGACAAAGCGAAATGGCTTTGATTGACATGTCATACTGCTTGACGTCATAATTCAGTCAAATTCATTTCCTGAATGAAAAGTTCATTTTCTTCATATTTAGAAACATGTATGAAACTTATATTATTTTGATATCAATATTCATATTAAAAGCATAATTTCAGTCACTTTCATACCTAAGGATAGTCAACATTTATAAGTTATTTGACTCATGAAATTCCTCATGCAACGTTTCGAAATGCATTATTTTCAGGGTAATAATATTCAAAAATATATATCATAAAGAGAAAGTACGGGAAATTCCACTCCGGTGACGTAATATGATTGCGTCAGGTTTCCATAACAACAACACCATAAGTTATCTTCCTTGTTTCGTTGCAGCCATGGCTCCTCCCAACAAAAAAAGCTCTCTTCCCTAAAGGAGGGGTCCTCACCCTCTGCTAGGGGTTCTCGTAGGGGTTACTTTCAAGAATACGTTTTACAAGACGGTGACATCTTAAAAGTCAACCCCCTAAAAATGACACAGATATTCAGAAGCTAGCTTTGGTGTATTTTTTTTTACTTTCCTGGAACTGTAAATACATTTTGTTTGTGTTTGTCCTATTTTGAATTTAATAGGTCTCAATAGGACCCCCATAAAGATGCAAGTGTCCTATAATCTGTGATAATATGTTGAATATTTTTATTATTCCATAAATTTTATTCTTACTACACATATAGTGTTTGGAGTAATGCACTTAGTTGTATAGGACAATATTCAAGGTCAAAGCATGAGATTATTGAGATAACTACCTTTGTCAATAATTTGTAACCTTCAAACTTTACATCATAAGTAAAGAATGAATCGGAGATTTTCTATAGATTTTTGGATCATTTTCCTACAAGATAATATTACTGACTTGAAACATTTCATGGTGATTTACATATCTGCAGTCATAAATAGATACATGTAGGCATGGGGTAGACTCCTATAGATTTTAAGATCTTCATTCAAAAGTATGGAAAGTTTTTAAGTTTGAAAGATTAAATGTCAGCATATCATTTGCTTGTGAATTTAAAATAAATTCAAACATATACATCTTTAGATGATAACTAGTTATTTCAATTCCTGGACTTTCTGTCTTGATATCATCCTTTAATGTCCTTAAAATTTGAAGGACTGTCTTTTAGTTTTAGTTGAATTAGTTTCTTATTAGCATGTGAAAATGGCATCATCCAAATAAGTTTTTCATCTGCATGTTATATGAAGAAGACACTTTTTCATCACAGTGAAAGAGATTGTTTTGTTAAACATAATGCATTGATGCACAAATATATTTTTAAATTTCTAACATGTTTCATATTTCTTTATATGGAATGCTAAGTACTGTTGATTTCATTTTTTTTATGAACAAAGACATACTAGTAGAAAAAATGTACATGATGTGTCAGAAAAGCATGCAGAAAAATGACTTTATCATTGCTGATTAAATCAAATTATGAGTTTCATCTTTGTTACATTGTAAACATTTCTAAGTAGGGCACACAATAGAAACTTAAAATTATTATATCAGGGTTTAACAGTACATAACAATTCCAAATGATTTTTGGACGCTTTTTTATGTATCAAAAAGACAAAACAGAATATCTGTTCACAGATGTTCCAAAGGAAAACAACCACAAAGAAAAGATTCAATTGATGACCGACTTGTATTGACACCTCACAAGACACATGATTTTAGCCCACAAAACCAATGGAGTAGATACAAGGATTAATGGAGGAAGTCCAAACTAAACTCTTGGAAGACATTAAGGCTCATTATGAGAGTAACTTTCTAGTGTTTGTTTATTACAAAATTATGTATTATGATAAAAAAAAAAAGATTTCACTTTCATTTGTTGTGCCTTACTGTCCCTCACTCAGATCAGAAATGATCTGTTGGTTTTGTAGGTCTCCTTTTTATACAGACTCTCAGGTGTAATTATTTTTTAACTTGCAGAGGAAAAAACCATCTATAGAGAATTTTGAATTAGGAATAATTCAAAAATCTCATTCTTTATCACTGAAAAAAAAATCTAGGTCTGAGGAGCTTGCTTAACAATAGAAAACACCAAATTTGGGTTCTGTCTTTTTTATTTATAGTTAACACAGAAATATCCGTTTGGACTGTTGAATCTCGCCTCGACAGATGGGGCAAAACTGAAAGGAAGGAGCACACAAGGCACAGCAGCATACGTGTCCACAAGGTAGAAAAACGATTTGTAATTCCTCGTCTAAACAAATGTGACATTTTCCTCGAGCCTGGACGTCTGGTTCTGGGTTCAGTAGAGGTTTAATCTCAGGTAAAGGTTTATATCCCTGCTTCTCTAAACTGGACAAATATACTCATCACCCAGCTTCGTCCTTTATACTGATTGATGTAAGGACAATTGGGGTTCCAATAAGCATGTTCTGCATAAGGATCCTCCTCAAGATCCCAATTCTCTAAAGTCATTCCACAATGAAAACAGGTAGCGTTATCTTTTAGTCCCCTGTAGAAAAACCCAGCTCGAGCTAGGTCTGGTATTTTTCCTAAGAGAAGTTCTGGCCATCCCTGCTCAAAAGTAGCTTCTCTCTTTGAGAGCTGAGCATACTGGGGAAAACGCATGGGTTTCTGGCTCGCGATTTATGATTAGAAATGACCTTTGATTTTGAATAAGAATACCTTTTATAGAGAAGAAAAAAAAACAACAACACATAAAACAACAATTCAATTTTTTATTTGTAACAACAAACATATCAACATATCAATAACCATAAGGTAAAGTGTTATAATTCTCTACAATTTGTCTCTTGTCATATACAATTCTAACTGTTTTCTCTGAAGGTTTATTCACGACCTCATAATCACGGGTCCTCTGGATTTTGCTGGGATAGGGGACTTTTACTTCCTCTATTTCTCCCTTGAGCATTTTTTCTAAAGTCTCTGGGCACACCAACTGAGAGGTTCGATGGTTGAAAGTGATTCCTTTACATTTATGAACCTCGGTTCCTTTGTCCGTCCGGAAACCATAATTTTTAGGACCTGCCGACATGAATTTGGTGATGTGATCCCCGTCTAATTCGTCGGTCCATTCTCCTAAACTATGACCCAAGGTAGGATTAAAAGCTCCTTCCTTATGTTGGTAAATGATACTGTCCGTATCGAAATAAAGGCCCCGTTCTTCTAAAGGTTGTAAAGTCTCGTAGAGATGTAAGCGGGCATAGGCGGTGGTAAAACAAGCCAGGATCACGTTTCCAAAGGGACATTCTTCGACGAATTCCTCTTTGTCTTGAAAATTCACTAGAATCTTGTCTTCAATGGAATCTTCTTTATTGACTAAGAGTCGCACATCCTTGATGTCGAGAGTCGAATTTTGTAAGAGTTGATGTAATTCCTCTACTTCGTCCAAGTATCTGACTTTGGGTAATAACAAGCGTTGAGCAAATTTTCCCCACAGACAATTTAAAAAGAGTTTAGCAATGGTTCTTCTCACTGGATTCTTCTCGATACTGATCCTATCCATCATGAATCCTTCTTTGTCGAAGATTTGTCGAATGTAATCTTGTTCTTGTTCTGAGGTCTTACAGTCGGGGGGAAATCCGGACGCTTCCTGTTTGATCTTGAGGAAGGTATTGATGTACTTTTTAAATAAGTCTTGACTGCTTTCTTTGAAATGCCACACTTCGTAAATTTGCTCTAAGGTATACCCCATGTCTAGGGCTTTATGTAATTCGCTCGTCACCCAAGTACCCGTGAGACTACGTTCCCGGTCGGTGTGTTGACATGGGTATTGAGACGTAGAGTCTTGTTGTTGGGCATACGTGCGACATAAGGGAAATAATAACTTCCCTCCCGTCCGATAAGGTAATACGGGGTGAAAGAGGCCTCGGGGTGGTAAGACCCGACAGTGAATGAGACCGAAATAACTTCTCACGTCCTGGAAGTCGTCTGTGATGATCTCGGGATGCCCTAGGGGAAAAGGTCTGTGTTTCAACACGTAAGGGTATAAGGAACACACGTCCACGTATCTCATGTCCCCTTCTTCACAATATAATTTAGTGGCATTGGTCCGGCCTCCGTACAGGGCTTCTCGAGGTTTCAAAGGATCGGGAATGTCCAGATCTCGTACAAATTGCTGTAAACTCTCATCTTGTTGCACTTGTTGATCGAAATCGTGCTCCCAGATACTACACACGTTGTACCCCATGTCCTCTAAATCCGCAGTCCTTCTGAGAGTTTTCTCGTGTAATTGTTGATAAGTAAATTGGGTCCGGTAAGGATGAGTTTCCGTCTGTAAACTGGGATAGCAAGTGGGGCATCCGTGCCAATAACACCCGTAAAATTCGTAGACGGTATGAGTCGCTTCCTGGTATCCGTCGACGGTATAATTTCCGATCGGGACTTCGCCTCCGTTTCTGGCATGTCGTATGTGACACCCATTCTGATGACTCATCCAGGTGAGCCACCGACAGGCTTTGGCCGAATATTGTCGTGCCGGTTCATACCCGAGGTTCGGAATGATGGCAATGGTGTCTTTAGGCATGAAATTTCGACGGTAGGCTAAATTAGCAGCACTGGCAAACGTGATGGATTCCTGGAAAGGGTCCACGTTGACCAACTTCTTGAGGGTGCTTCTAAACCGTGCACAGCATTGGCGTAAAATGTCGACGTCCGAGATACAATACCCTACAAACTCTTTCTGGAAATCAAACACTTTTCCCCTCTGTTGGTCGTACCATTCGTAAAAAGCTTTTCGTCCACTGGTAGTTATTTCGTCCGGTTTGTAGAAAGCTGCCGGTGGATAAGGTCCCATGTAATTCTGGTTCTGTTCCGTATTAAAAAAGTGAGGGAAATAACCTTTCTTCAATTCGTTCAATTCGAAAGCGGAGGGCATCTTGGCCAAAGGAAAGGTTAAGAAACTATACGAGTCGATGAATTTGAGTCCACATATTTCCATGGACAAGATCTTACTCCCGTTCATGATCACGTTAGGTTTCAGGGGAGAAGAATGCACTATGTAATTCAAAATGAATTGTCCGTCGTATCCTTTGAAGTTATGGGCGATGACGATGGCCCCGTCGTGTACTAAAGTGGAATTCTTAGTACCTGTAGTGGGTTGAAATAACCAGTCCATGAACTTCTTTAAGGTGTCTGGGCCTTGAAATAGGTGCTGACGGGGTCCCATGTGATGACAATGAGGACAAGGTCGGTCTATGGGTAAGTCATCGCAATGTTGACAGACGCGATGTGCCACACACAGATTAGGAACGTGAATGCCCGATTCCTGAGTGCATTCGAAATCGAAATAAATGGTAAACTCTAAGGTGCCTTTTCCCTTCTTCTTCTTCTGGGGCTTCTGTCGAACGTAGCACCGATGATCGGCATCGACGATTTTCTTACAGATCTTACACAGTTTCTGATCTCCGCATTTGTGATGAGGAAATAATTTCTTAGGTATCCAGGACTGACACTTCTCGCATAACCCCATTAAATTGCAGACAGTAGTGGTGGTTTTCTTACCATGAGGTCTTAAATGATTTTCGTAGCAGGTCTTGTTCTTAAACATTCCATGGCATTCCTGGCATTTAATCTTGATCCCTTCATCGGGACAATTAGGGTGTTGTCCTAAACAAAAGGTACAGCGATGAGGGCATTTGGACCGATGTTCTGTGACATTCCTGTACCCCACGTCGCAATGATCACAGTAATATTGGTTCCCCGTTACTCCCGGCATGGATATGATGGCATCGCAATGACGGTTGTCTAACAAAATGTTCAAACAAGTTCCATCTCCCCAGCCTTTGAAGATGCGCTCTAAACAGAGTTTAGTCGAAGTAGATTTGAACTGAAATATTTTCAGACGATACTGAGGAGCTAATACCTCTTGTAATTTCGTCCACTCTGGGGCTCCACAGGCTTGAGTGATATCACATCCGGCCTGTTCCATGAGGGCTATGGCTTCGTTCTTCTGGTCTAAGTATTGAACGCCTTTCCGCATACGTGACCATCGTTTTTCCCATTCGGGGTCTGGATGTTCCGGTTTCTGACTGTGTAATCGAGTGACGACGATGGCTCTAGCCAAACAAAATTTATCATGGGGATTGACGATCCGAACGATGGATTGTTTATTGTTCTTAAAAGTTTCTTTATTCACTTGTAAATGTTTGGTTCTGTCTCCACCACTCCCCTGGGGATTCTCGATGTGAAGCAGTTAGAATTCCGTGGAGCCGTCGCCCAGTTTGAACTCCTTTTTGGATTGTTGTACGTCTTGTATTTTTTTAAAAATGACGTCTTCGTTTAAATCTTTACATTGCATAAACTCGTACGAAATGTTTGATTCCAGAGAATCGTGATGAAGGTTCAGGCGGAGGTAATCGTTATGATCACACTGCATTTTAGATTTGAAGTCTTGTAACATGTTTTTGAATAATCGCCGAAGGAAAGCTGTGTTTTCTTCTTCTTCTGGAAATTCATCGAAATGAACGACATATCTATTTTCATGCGCTTTAAATTTTGGAGAGGTCCTTTTTTCAGCTAGTCTCATGTGATAATACTCAGAAATGGGTTTAGGTGGTAAATCTATTTCTCTCTCGGTACTTTTTCGTTTCAATATTCGTCGAGCCTGTACCTGTTTTTCTCTAGTAGAATCCATGTCTATCAGGTGATGGCTCTGAGAGTAAAATGAACCCAGAGTGAAAGAAAAACCGTATTTATATACAGTGGATGACGTCACAATGCACAGGTAGGTTTTATCGTACTTTTTGCACACGGCTCTTTATAGAGGATGCAAGAGGAATATAAAGAAACACAGGTAAAAGGTATATTTCTTTTGCACACGACCCTAATTTTTTTTGCACACGGTACTTTACAGGTGATGCAAACAGGTATATATAAGAAAACGTAGGTAAAACGTATTTTTGCACACGACCCTAAACAAACCCATGCTATATATAAACCAGCGCTGGACATTGAGGATCACTCTGCGTGAGTACTTGGAACTCGACAGACTTTAAAAAAGTTCAGTGGTCAAGTCAGAGGTATGGAACCAAGGTATCGCTGGTTTATTGAGAATACTGACAAGAATGGACCCTGGATGGAAACCCTAGAAGAAGCCACGCAGGATTACCATAAAACCCATTCAGAGGAATCTAATCAAACAGTATGGACTTGGGAGGAATACTTTAAAGAACTGTGGGGCTTGGATAAGATGATTCCGGAACAATCTAAAGAAAAAGTTGAAGAAACTAAACAAAAAGTATGGTTGGAAAAAAGAGTGAAATTTCCTGAAAATTATGTGGTGATAAGGAAGCACTGCTCTTTTGAGGGAATGAAGGGTTATCACGACTACAAATGGGAGATCAGAGGTGAGGATGATGATGGTTTTCTGATTGAAACTATATACTTCCCCGAGTTAGAATCGTGTATTGAACATTTACTTCTGTACAAGAAAGAAGGAAAAGCCTTAAAAAGACCGCATCTAGGTACTTATACACAGTATCTCCATGGAATAATTCCTTATTTTCCAAATGAAAAGGGTATCCCTTGGATGACACGAGACTATGATGATGATGATGTTAATTTGGACTTTATTTTAGATTAAAAGACAGCCTGTAAATTGTTGTATTTTCATTCTGAATAAAATCTGTGTTCTTGATATAATCTGTCTTGTGTGTTATTTGTTATTGTTTTCAGTAAAAATCCAGGTTGTTATTGTTTTCAGTAAAAATCCAGTTTGAACCGGCTGGCTGGCTAGACTGGCTAGACTGTGAAGCGTGACGTCATAATCACATTCTTGAAATGTTTTGCACACGGCGCATTTACCTGTGTCCATAAACAAAACGTAGTACCCACGTACCAATGTAAACACAATGTAAGCGCCCCGTATTTAGGGGATAGGATAGGGTTAAAAAAAGGGTTAGGGTTAGTTGGGGGGGGGTTAGGGTTAGTTAGGGTTAGGGGGTTAGGGTTAGGGGTTAGGGTTAGTTAGGGTTAGGGTTAGGGTTAGTTAGGGTTAGTTAGGGTTAGGGGGTTAGGGTTAGGACTGCACTCAGTTGACCCGGTCATCCAGCCTGCTTCCGGCTAGGACATTTCTGGCTAGCCCACTTCCGCTTCCGGTTAAACCACTTCCGGTTATGACGTCACTTCCGCCCTATCAAGGCTGCTTATACTACTGTCATGTACTCTTTGACTAATGGCAGATAAAAGTACCGATCGTGAAAAGCTTCTTTTCGCCCCTTGTTAATTGATTAATTAAAAAGATTCCCGAATTGATGACGACCCATCAGCAATTTCGCAGTGAATCCAGCGAAGACGTACAGACTTATCGATGAAATCTTGAAAAGTTTAAAGATTATTTAAAAGATCTTCCATTTGCAGGGTCCGAGAAACAGATTGATTAATCATAATGCTTTACACTACATAATCTCTGCTTAACTGAAGATGACTTAGATTAATTTTCATTTTTATAAATTGTTTCAAAATGACTTATGTTTTAACCCAACTGGCATGTTCTTTCTTCTAGACCTTAGAAATGTCAGAGGATGGACGGGGAGAACCTCGGCTGACTTCTGAACTTTAATTAAAGCACCGTCCTTGGTTGATATTATCTAATAAGTCTGTTTATCTCTGGTCGATCCCATTGATTGCATTGTCGTTAAACCATGAACACTGAAATCGATCTTTGTTGGGCATTCGATGAACGTCATTATTCGAGTTATTCGATCATCTTTTTTTTTACATTTCCAATTGCAATTTTATTTACTAATTTATAAGTGTCTTCGGGGATGAAAAATATTTGGCCTTCGAACTTGTGAAAGAACTGTATAACCTACTGTACGGATATATCCATAATGAAAAATATGGACCAAAGAACACATATCAACCCTGTCCGCAACGACTTATCTGTTCTAACTCTGTCCATACCGGAAGCCGGAGAACCTATCAAAAATTCAAGTCCTTCAATAATTTGAAATTAGCCAATAGTATGTCAAACAATCCCAAAAGTTACAAAATATTTCCATCGCCAAGCAATTTGTGAAACCATTTAAACTTTGTTGCTTATATTAGATTCCTAATCTTTGTCGCTACAGTCGTAATTCATTTTAAAGTCGAAATTAAAATATCAACCCATATCCTGTACACAAGTTTAATTCCTATAAAACAAATAAACATCGAAATACTCTATATATAAATTCTACCAATACACAGACAGACCGATTTCTCCGACTCTGGCTAACCATGAAGTTTTTCTTTGTTTTGACTTGGATGGTCTTCTTGGTTCTTGCCTCAGCTAGATTTATTGGACAAGGTAATTTTATTCTCGATTTACAGTGATTTTATTATGATCATTATTAGTGAATTAATTTTATTCTCTTTATACCGAGAGAGAGAGAGAGAGAGAGAGAGAGAGAGAGAGAGAGAGAGAGAATCAGTTATTAAATACAATACTTGTATAGTTGTATAATTAGTTTTATTAATTATAATCTGTAATAAAATAACGCTAGCGGTCTCTCTAAATTGACAAGTTACTTTCAGTAAAAATTAGTTATCTAAATTGTTTTAAAATTCATTTCATGATGTTAATTCAAAACAGTAATATAAAAAATTGTTTTTCTAAACATTTTAAAAATATACATTGCTAAATGTACAGTAATAAGTTAAGTGCATATTAAATACATGTATATCATTTCCAAGTCAGAAATACATACGATATATAAATAAGAATTTTCACTTCATAATGGTTATTGAAAAATAATTTTTTTTTTCAAGGGAAATTTTTCTTTATAAAGCCGAAAATTCTCCCGTATTTTGGAAAGACAATCGACGATGACCAAAAGCAAGGTCAGAAAGTAGCTCCAAGAGGACCCCCGTCATGGTCCAACAGTCATTCCTCCATTCACAAACCTCACCCGGTCCACAGCAACGCATGGCAACAAGCCACAAGGTCTTCAAATCATGCCCATACAGTAACTTTTGAATCTACCTCCTATAATCAAACAACGACGCTGAAATCTCACGAGACCATCTCGTTTTCGGAGTGGAAAGAGAACTGGGAAAGGGATCATGCTTCTGTCTGTGGACAACAACATTTTGTTCCGTACATATCCCACCTCAGGATCATGGGAGGCACAAGCGCTCGCAAAGGCAGCTGGCCCTGGATGGTAAATTTTGTTTATTTTCATATTTTTTATTTTATGCAGTCAACTGTGAATATCAATTAAATATGAATTTATTTACAAAAATTAAATAATGCATAAAAATATCAAAACTCTCAAATTTATCAATTTTTTAATATCTGCTTGATTTGTTTTATAAAATCGCATTGGGTGCTAATGGCCATATTTCTTTTAATTGAACTAAAATACTAGGTTTCTATATACTTTCTTCCATTTCGCCAATCCGTGTGTGGTGGAGTCCTTATCGACAAGGCGTGGTTTCTCACAGCTGCTCACTGTTTTGATCCGTGAGTCGTTTCTACATCAATATGATCCTTTCACTCCATATGACAAGATATTTAACACAAATATTATAGCCACAATCGTGAATATTTAAAATTCACGTCATAAGAATCCAATGATGATATTTTATATGTTTTTCGTTTACCGATAAAAAAAAATAAGCACGCAACATTCACACATGATGCAAACTAGCAAATTTGATATCTTTATTAAATTGAACTATCCAATATAACATTCATTGGCAATATAATTTTTTTGGTATCTTCATATGAATTTTTAACACTAACTTAAAATATGGCATGTATTTATATTATTCGATGGATTCAAAATCTTCCGCAATGATAACGAACATTATTTCAGCAGCAAATTCAAAATCAATTATGGTAACATACCACACTGTTGAAACAATTTTTTCTTCTTCCTACAGACCATTGTATGCTGCAAGAGACTTAATGATAATTCGATTAGGACTGTATAATGTAACTACGCCATTAAATGGAAACTCTATTGAACAACAAAGAAAAATTCAACAAGTATTCAA